CCCCAAAACCCCAAAACCCCGCTAAAATTTTATCGCAAGTATTTCAACATAAACCTCAGATAATAAATTTATGAATTAAAAATAGTGCTAAGGTAAAGTTGATTAGAAAAATTAAATAAAGTAAAAGTAAGAAGCTTTGATGCTTCCGAGAATAAATAAGTGAATTATTTGAATCTATCCTCAGACTGGAACAGTTAGACCCCAAGCTTATGAAGTTTTGTATCCAGCATTTTCAGAGGTTAGAAGAGCAAGCATACATTCTTTGGGATAATAGTCATAAGCAATATTGCAATTACATTGAAGAGTCTCTTATCCTGAGGTTTAATTTTTTGTTGAAAAGCATTTATCATTGCCAGGAGTGTAAATGTAGGAATAGCCTGGTTTAGTTGTGATTGAAACAGTTGCATTGTATGTGTATTCCTCAGTTTGAGTTCCTTGGAAAAAGACGATTTCATATCTCTTACCAATTAAAGCAGCTTAAGATCCTGATAGGAAATTTCCATTAGTATTCTTGATTGTGAAAGATTCTGAATATCTTAATCCAGCCAAATCAGCAGTAAGATTACCAGTCATATTATAAGCAGGTGAAGTTTTAGCACAACTTGGGACTTAAGGTTTAGGTGGTTTTGAAACTTGAGCTACTAATGGCTTTAGATCCTTACTACTGAAATCGTGGCTAGTTGGTCTGCTGGTCTAGTTATTGACATCAAGAATAGCGATGTCTTTTGGAGAATTAATGATAATTCCATAATCTCTAATATCATTGACGTCCCACTCAACATAGAATTATAAAGTGTAATTACCAGCAGCAAGAGGAGTGTCAATTAAACTGATATAACTATATAATGTTTCATAGTAATAGAGTTGGTTTACGGTTTTACCCTTGGAATCCAAAAGGTTGAGCTTGATGAGAGCTAACTTATTTTTGCATGTTGCTGGGTACATTCTTGAAGGATATGGCAAAACTCTGATTTATAATGGAGTAGGTTCATTAAGAGTGAATTTGTAGATTGAAGGAGTTGTTTTGTTAGCTACTTAGTCATCTCTCTTGTCATACCAGGATGCTACAAAGTTTTCTCTCCATTCATAAATATTCAGGCCTCTGAATGAATCCATAACTTCATCAAGAGTCATGTAAAAAATACCATCATTAGAGACCACAAGATTTACTTGCTAACCCCATGTTTTTCCATTTGGACCTGGAGTAAACCACAGTGATGATCCGTCTTAAAAGGATCCATTGAATTTACTTTCACTTCTCCATGGATTTCTGATTTAGAAGATTCTAGTTGAACTAGTTCTGTCAGCATTTTCCAATGTTTTCACTGAAAGTAGAGAGTATGCATGACCACAGGCGATACCAAAATTGCATGTATCTTAATCACCACCTGGAGAAGAAGGAGTTGAAAGTGACATAATGAAATTTCTATTGTCAGCATCAAGAATCTTTGCCCAAGTAGCTTCTTTACTAAGAATTGTGGCATTGATAATAATATATTGATGAGGGGCATTTGAGAGGAAATCAAATGCTTCAAATGCTTAACCTCCTTCAATTTGTTCATAGTTGACATTTGTCTTAGCCCATGCTTTTTCAAGAAGAGGACCCCACATGGCACCATCTAAACCAAATCCAGCAAAAATTGGCTTCTTTAAGGTAGTACCAGTTGGGACAGCATCATCGACAACAATCACATGAGGGATTCCTCTGATGTAAACATTGAAAGCGTAGATGCCTGCCCAGTTGACTTCAGGGTTGACGAATGCTTTTTCAAATCTTGAGTTGACTTCTGCAAGAGCAGCAATGCCAGCTAGGTAATAGCAATCTCCAAGAGAATTTTGATCGATATCATTCAAGTAATCGCTAGTGCCGTACATTGTGCAGTTCTAACACAGATTGTTTAATCTTGCCCACTTAGTGTTCAAGTATTAGCTGATTTTATTTTGATTAAAGCTTCCACTCCATTGTATAGAAGTAGAGTCAGCGGGAAAAGTCGTATCATTCCAAAAGTTATCTGAGTTTTGCACTAAAGATTTGTAATTAGTGGGATTTGCAAGCTCATTTTTAAGTCTGTTAATATTTGCGGAGCAAGTTTACTACAATTGATTAGTTTGTTGCATTTATGGTAAGCTATGAATAAACTTTTGGATTCTGCTCTTTGAGAGTGCAGAGGTAGCGCCAATAAATAGGAGAGCAATAGCGAGTGTCAATCTCATTTTATTTTATTATGGATATTTGATAGCAAGCACATTAATAAGGTAAAGAGATCGCAAAATTTGTATATCAAATAAGGGTATTTAATTACTTCAATGCACTATTTTATTCTGTTTAATTACGTAACTTCTCCTAGCAGAATCTCAATATCCTTTCATAGTGGGGTTTTGGGGTTTTGGGGTTTTGGGG